GTCAATTGACCAGGTCAGCTGACCTGATTACTTATTCAAAGTGACCCCGATATTAATATTATCGTAAAAGTGAATGTGACCAAGGTGACTCACAAACAAATGTCAAGATCGGAATTAAACCTGCTTTCTAACCCAACATTTTACATTGTCTGATATTGTTAACAGTTACTTTCTTTTTATGCAGGTTGCAGCTCTTATGCATAACATGCGCCAACGCCTCTGTAACGGGGTCACACTAGCTACTGGCTAAATTGGTCAAAGACCTCCCATAAATGATACGGATGAATGTGTGTAACCTTTGATTTTTATATCAGCAAGAGAATATCAATTGATTGATATTTCCAGGTTTACGGTACTTACCGTGTACGTACTTTGTACCATCATCATTTGATGACTGAGTGATGTGCCAACCATCCATTTAGTTCGAATACTAGTATTTGTATTAGTTCAAGTTTAGTATAATGTATGGTACTTAAAGTAGGAATTTCCTTGATACAAAATCTAAAGATAGTTCAGTTCTCATTTCGAGCAGAAGTCCCTAGACTTCCCCCCTCGCACATTGTTCCCTGCCGTTCCTTAGAACTGCCGTAGCTTAGAGAGTCCTTAGACTCTACTCCCCTGCACATTGTGCTTGTGGTTCTCTAGAGCTACACTAGTTGAGTTGTTAGCTCGTCGGGTCGACCCATGTTCCGTAGAGCTGGGTGACTCTTTAACTCGATAGATTAGTTCCGTAGAACTCATAGGCTGTGAGACGTAAGCCTTTGGCTTGTAAAATAAGTCTTCCTCTGACTTAAAGAGCTGGGTAGCTCCGCTACACTTGGTATTACTTGCAGTCAATTTTACACCCGAGTCGTTGCGACTAATCCTCTGTGAGAGATGGAGGGTCTTGACTACCTCTCGGAGGCTCAACGTATCGCGCTTGGTAAGCTGAGATCGTTGATAGGGGTCGAGCAGGTTGACCACATTGTGGCCCAAGGCCCAGAAGTGCTTAATGTACGTCTTGATGCATTTACGCAGTTTAAGGCTACGCTGATAGGGCAGGTACACGATCATTTAGCCTCAACCATACCTACACGGTACTTTCCAGTACCTGACAGTGAGTCAAAGACTCGTCCGCTCACTCTTAGCGTTAAACCTTTCGAGGGGAAAGAGGAGGAAACTTTTTCTCCTCTGGATTAGAGAAATCGTTATGGCTATCGAAGCCGCCTTGCTTCAATCGGAGCGATAGAAAGTTGGCCTAGCCATTTCTAAGCTCAATGATAGAGCCAAAGAATGGGCTTTTACCTGTGAAACGTCGGTTAGCACTGCGTTTCCCACGTATGATTTACTTAAACGAGAGATGTATCGAGTGTTCGCGCCACCTAATAAAGCTTATCGTGTTCGTTCTCGAATTCCTGGCCACCAGGAAGGGAAAGAAAGAATTATCGGACTTTTTCCAAGAGTTGCGAGCTCTCATAGCTGCTATGCAGCTGGACCCTCTCCAGAGCAATTCCGTGTCACCATTTTTATGGAGGGCCTTCGTACAGGGATCGCGAGGACGGAAGTCTTCCGCGTCCACCCCTCAACGTTGGAAGAGGCTGTATACATAGCGTTGAATGCTGAGTTCAGCTTTAAAGCCGCTTGCTATGGCACGTACGGGCATGCACAAAGATTATTTGACGGGGCTGAGTTCATGGACCTCAGCCATGCTGAAGAAGAAGAAGAGAGATCTTCTAGCTGTTGAGCAGCAATGTAACATCCTTAGATGTTACATGTGCGGGAGCAATAAGCACTTGCGCCCTCAGTGCCCACTGCGGAAGCCGCCTCAAAGTCGGCCAAGCTGCAATCCGCCTATTAACCCGAAAGTGGGTACGGAGAGGGAAAACGGCAACTCCCAGTAGGCGTGGGGCGCCCTACTGGGGAGGAACTAGGTTCTGCCGAATCTTTAGGTGGTTAAGATAGACAGGGCTTAGCCTCAGACGATCTTGTGGAATTTTCCACAAGACGTGAGTATAAGCGAGGCTTGTGTGTGGCCTCGGCTACAATTGAGGGCTTTGAAGAGCCGTGGTCAATATTAATTGAATCTGGAGCGTCAGGCAACTATGATCGACTTCGATGCTTAGAGGGATGTCAGCAATATGCTGAGGCGCTGAAAGAGCATGAGGGTGATGGCATCACTGTTCGCTTAGCGACAGGTACTCGTGTCACCATCATTTAAGTTCCGTTGAACTTAGGTGTGCAATTTTAGATTTCAATAGTATCGAACGTTGTCTTGTCCTGGATTTGGACTCGAGATATGATCTCATCCTTGGGATGGCTGAATTGGAACGCCATGAACTATGGATTGATTAAAGGTCGAAGAACTTAGGCGCAACGCGCAATGTTACTAGAGAAGCTTTGGAGAGCCTAAAACCCAACTTTGCTAGGCAACAAAAGCGCTCTTGGCGTGAGCCACTGACGAGGTCAGTCAGTGTGCTGGATACTGGAGTGTCTGAGCTAGTCAACTCTGATGCCATTAAAAAAAGTAAATCGGCACATATTCCGTATAGTGACACTAGTAATAACAGTAAAGCACTGAATGCTGGAAGCATTAATGGCTTAAAGCCGAGTAATCCTGGGTGTGATCCCTGTGATGCGCGTGGAGTGGCACGTAAACTTGCACAGAGTGAGGTCGGCCGTGATGGCACCCCACTAAATGTCGGTACTGAAATCATTGGCGATTCGCCAAGGCATCAAGAGCTACGCTCAACAGATGCGAATATAGTGGATAACTTTCCATAGAGTGAGGTCTGTCGTGAGGGCACCACACTTAATGTTGATAATGACATTGGCTCTCTGAGAGAGCAGTTTGAGGTTAAAGACAATCTTCACCTCGAGGAACCGGATGTTCCTAACACGTTGAAGTGTTCAGTCACTGCACAGAGATGACAGCGACGCCAGATGGCGGCTGTGAAAAGAAAGACTTCTGCCATGACCCATAAGGACACTAGTGTACAGTCGTACACGTTAGTCAATGGGTTGTCAAGTGCAACCGATGGAGCAGTAGTCCTCGAGGCCCTCCCATCGATTAACGCTCTGCTAGAGCTAGACGAAATGTATGTAAACGAATTTTATCAAGCCTTAAAGGCTGGTGCTTTGTCCGATCTGGTGGCCCGTAGACCTGATCTTTTGTTGAACTCGTCATTCCATGTAGATGAGACATTCCTTAAGGACAATAAAGTTGCACTCTGTGCTCGCAGTGAGTCTGCCAATTTAGAGGATCCTCCGGATCCTTTCTACTTATTAATTCGAAAATTTTAGGATGTGGTGTGTAATGATCCACCATCTAACCTACCTCCGTACAGAGATGTGCGTCATGAAATTGACCTGGTTCCTGGAACAAAATACTGTGAGACAAGGCACTGGTCATTTCCTAACGAACAGTTTGACGTCATTGACGAGTTCTTTCGTGCAAAGCGCGTGGCAGGCATGCAGACACCTATTCCTAAAAAGGATGCTCTTCAGAATGCTATGGTGGGATGTACCATGTTCAGCGCACTCGACGTGGTCGATGGGTATCATCAATTGCCCATGCGAGCGAGGATATTCCGCTCACAGTGGTTAGAACGCTGAGTGGCATGCTTGGGAGTGGCTAGTTATGCCTTAAGGGCGATCTAACGCCCCTGCAACGTTTAATCGTCATGTGACGCAATGACTTTGACCCCATCGAGGATATGCAAGAAGCTAATTTGATGACATCTTAGTTCATAGCCGTGCGGAAAAGGGAAGGTCAGATGTGGAGAATCACATTGACCATTTACGAGCAGTGCTCGGATGCATGCGCACCAACAAGCTGTTTGCAAATGCATCTAAATGCATTTTTGGTGCTGACAAAATTTCTTTTATAGGGTGCTTCATTGGAAAGCGCGGCCTACGGGCAGATCCTGCTAAGGTAAAATCCATTGTGGATTAAACGGTTCCGTCTAACCCGAAAGACTTGCGTAAATGGCTTGGTTGAGCCAATTACTTACATACGTTAGTGCAAAATATGCTGACATGGCAGGGCCATTCACTTACCTCCTTTAAAAGGACGCAGTTAGATGTTGGGACTTAATTCAGGCACAATCTTTTCATGCTGTTTAGGTGAGTCTCCTTCTGCTTCAATTTTGGCTTTTCTTGATCCGGAGCGACCTTTCACTGTCTTCTGTGACGCATCTAATTTTGCCATTGGCAGTGCATTGTTGCAAACTGATGTCGATGGACATGAGCCATCATTGTGAATGAGTCTCTCCAGATAAAAGCTGCTAAAAAGAACTATCCATTTCATGACAAATAGTTACTTGCAGCGAAGTATGCTCTTGTCAAGTTCAGAGTACATCTACTTGGCTCCAAGCCGTTTGTAATCTACACGGATCATGCGTCGTTGCGCACTGCGACCCAATCGCCTCTTATCTCGCAACTGATTGCCCGTATGCTTTCATTCTTTGCTGAGTATAACTTCGAGGTGAAGTGTAAACCAGGAAAGCAAAATGCTTTGGCCGATGCGTTATCACGCAGGCTGGATTATGATCTTGCTCATGCAACGACTCTGTCATCTTCTATCCCTGATTTAATCCGTGCGTCTTATGCCAAGGATGATCAGTGTGTCGCGTTGTTACGCGCACTCGGTTGTGATGAGTTAAAGACTCGGACATTAATTGTCGGCACGCTCGAGTAAAGGGCTACATCGACATTCTTTCGATAATGGCCTCTTGTGCTATAGCACGGATGCGGTGGATAATCCGCGCATCATCGTACCTCATGATGTGAAATTGAAGTATCGTATCCTCTTCAAGACGCATATAACAGCTCTGAGCGGTGATCTCGGTCGAGAGAAGACCTATGGCTCGGTCAGCCAACACTATTGGTGGCTAAAATTATAAAAATGGTTGAGCACATATGTGCGTACGTGTGAAACGTGTCAATGGATAAAATCCTCCGCTCATGCGGCTGCGCCTTTAGCGAGTTTGCCTATACCCACGAGCTGCTGGGAATCCATCAGTATGGACTTTGTAATTGATTTGCCAACAGATTTGGACGGCAACACTGGTATTGTGGTCTTTGTTGACCGTTTGAGTAAGATGACTCATTTAGCGGCTGTGCCGACTTCAATTGATGGTGAACGCACAGCAAAGCTGTATATCGATCGCGTGTTTCGTCAACACAGTTTGCCTTTGGCAATTGTTTCAGATTGCGATCCTCGCTTTACGGGGAAGTTTTGGATTTATAATTTCAAGGTGCTTGGCACCAGATTGGACACGTCCACAGCGGATTATCCGCAGACCGATGGTCAAGTTGAACGTGTTAGTGGTGTCATTGGTGACAATTTGCGCTGTGTTTTCGCAGATACGCCTCGTCGTTGGAGCTCTATGTATCCGGTGGTCGAATTTGCCATGAACAATTTGGTCCATGCCTCAACTGGCTACACCCCGTTTTATGTTAACGGCTTCACCCATCCGCGCGTCCCATTGACTCTACCACTCCGTGGTTTAGAGCTTGGTGGGGAAGGGATTGCCGATAGGCTTGCTGATGTCAGCCCTGCCACTGTTCAGAAACAGGTTGGTGAGTTCCTTGCAACAATGTAGAATGTCTTACGACATGTGCGAGATGCAATGGCTGATATCCAAGGTAAGCAAAAGAAACAAGCATATGCCAAAGGAATCAATTGTAATAAAAGTAATGAGGTCGGAGACAAAGTTTTGATTAACCCTAACAATATACCTACAAATGAGGTGTCAGCTGCTTTTAAAACGAAGTTGCGTCCGCGCTTCGTTGGACCTTTACGGTTGTGGCCAAGAAGGGCCTTGCGTATGCGATCAACTTGCCGCGCAAATTGCGTACACATCCCGTCTTTTCTGTCGGCCTGCTTAAGCCATACCGGGACCCGTCCCATGTTGACTTGAAGGCGCTTGCGCCGCGTACATTGGCGTTGCCACAGGATCCGATTTAAGATGTCAAGTTGAGCCTCGACACGAGTCTGACGTATCTCCATCATCTGAAGACGGGTGCAATCGCATTGTAACGTCACCAGACGAGATCGGGCTTCGCCCAGGGCGTTCTGAGTCTGAACCTAAGTATCACGAAGATCCTCCACTTTCTTTACCAGCTCAGCATGGCTTTTAGCCGATGCTCCGACCGCCACCGGTGTTGCATGACAAGCAAGGGAACTTACAGTTCCATGTGGAGCGGGTACTTCAACGACGTCGTCGTCACGGTCACTACTAATATTTGGTGAAGTGGCGTAAGAACCCTGAGTCTGAAAACTCATGGGAGTATGAGATTTTCCTTCGGCAAGGCTGCCCAACCGCCGATGACGTTTTTGAGCGCCACGGCCGAGCTTGTCTTGACGAGCGTCACGCTTCTCACTCGTCGTAGTGAGATCGGGCGAGTTCGTGTCAAAATACTGACGTAAACTTGCGGCTGCAAAGGTAGCCGAAGCATAGCGGGAGCGTGATACTCCCCGCAGACGGCCTCTGGTCTTTAACTTCGCGAAGTCATAGCGAAGCTTTCGCTTTATAAGAACGTCTGCTACATTGGCACTTTCGCGTAGTGCGTGCATGCTACTGAGGTGTCGAACGCCATACACCCAGTGGATGAACATATTGTCCTCCGTGATTTCGTCCCCATCTTCTGACATAATGATGGATCTACTCCTTATTTGTGGAACTGGAGTTCCTTGAACCTGCCTTTGTAGCCGTTATCTGTATTGACTTAAAGTCAACACAGTAGGTTTCAAGTTCCTCCCTCGAAGAGCTTGCGACATTCGATTTCAGTTGGCGTTTTCGCCTCGGGGCCGGTGGCCCAGGTTGCCAAAGTATGCCGTGGCACTTGACGAATTAGTTCTTCCACGCCAGGTGTTGTAAATGCACATTCACTGTGTCGTTGCAACTTTTTCTGAACTTTTGACTTGCGCCGTGCGCTTGCCGCTTGATCGAGCGTGCGTTGTTGCTCCTTATCAAGCAGGTTAGTGATAATGGATGTATCCATGGGGGACATTGCTCCCAGCGCTGTTAGCGCAGTCGCGGCACTACGTTCGGGTAGCAGATTAGGTGCCGGATGGGGAATGTCCCCACGCACAGGCGTGTTGGGTTTGGATTGCTCCTCCCCCTCGACTTTGGTATCACTACCACTGTCAAAGTCTACGTCCTCGACACCAAGGAATTCGGCTAGAGCCTTATCTTCCAGGAGGTTGTTCAGGTCGGTCAATGTGAGTGCGTCACTTTTGAAATACGTCCTATTGGGATAATGAATCGAATGACGTTTATGGTAACGTCAGTCTGGTGGGGGAGGTTGTAACGGGGTCACACTAGCTATTGGCTAAATTGGTCAAAGCCCTCCCATAAATGATACGGATGAATGTGTGTAACCTTTGATTTTATATCAGCAAGAGAATATCAATTGATTGATATTTCCAGGTTTACGGTACTTACCGTGTACGTACTTTGTACCATCATCATTTGATGACTGAGTGATGTGCCAACCATCCATTTAGTTCGAATACTAGTATTTGTATTAGTTCAAGTTTAGTTTAATATATGGTACTTAAAGTAGGAATTTCCTTGATACAAAATCTAAAGATAGTTCAGTTCTCATTTTGAGCAGAAGTCCCTAGACTCCCCCCCCTCGCACATTGTGCCCTGCAGTTCCTTAGAACTTCCGTAGCTTAGAGAGTCCTTAGACTCTACTCCCCTGCACATTGTGCTTGTGGTTCTCTAGAGCTACACAGTAGTTGAGTTGTTAGCTCGTCGGGTCGACCCATGTTCCGTAGAGCTGGGTGACTCTTTAACTTGATAGATTAGTTCCGTAGAATTCATAGGCTGTTAGACATAAGCCTTTGGCTTGTAAAATAAGTCTTCCTCTGACTTAAAGAGATGTGTAGCTCCGCTACAGCCTCAGCCGAATGATGTTGAAGCAATTTACGCTAAATTTTTATTATGGAAGAAAACCCTTTTACTCGGTGCAAGAGCAATAATACTGAGGTATGATAAGTCGATAGAGCCAAGAATTAGTGGATACAGAGGCCCAGCAAGGTGAAATTCAGCTACCTAGAATTGTGTAAAACGAAACTATTGGATTGGCATTTTCTAAAGAGACTGGCATCAGAAAAGGTGGTGATTCTTGAAGCCAGACCGAGTTTGAAGCATAACAGCTGGAGTATATAGATGGACAGTGTATTGTTTTTTTCAAGATGCACTGTCAAATGTCGCGTCTGATAATCTCATGAATACGACAATATAAGTGTTTTCGTGACTGCAATTCTTGCAGCTATCGTGCCGACGAAGTTGCCGGGATGAGCTTTTTGTGTGATGGTGCGTTTATTGAGGAGGAATGTAAATCTTTTGATCACGTAAATAGTGATTGTAATGCTGATAGCAGGAGGTGGATTTTAGCGTGTATTAGGAAATAGGTTTACAGGGATTAACACAGTTAAAACATTCCATGTCTGCTGGAATTAAAAAACGCTTTTTCCGTGGCCAGTTGAAGGTCAACATCGATATTCTATGGTAAAAGTGCTATCTATGGTCGCCAACATAATCTGTGGTTGACACGGAATTGTGATATGTGTTCAAAGTAATAAACGACTAGAAGAAATCGTAATAGAGGTTTAAAAGCGCGGACAAAATTTTTAATGATTAATGGTAAGATCAAATATTGTATTACGAAGCCGTAAATATGGCTGAAAAAATAGTAGAGGTACTGCTAAGGCCACAGACACAGATTTTATATCCCCACATGCAATTAAAAAAAACACGCGACCTTGGCAACTTCTTCGTATGAAAAACTTTTCTTTTCATTAGGTTGAGGTGCTTGTACGCAAATGGATGTACTGACAGCAGTCAATACAGCAAAACTAACGCAGCGACAACAACAAGAAATACAACCACAAACGAATGCAAATTAAAACGGCAGCAAAATTAGAGTCAAAGGCGCAGCAGCACAAAAACAGTTAATTAAGCACTGTTTGTCCTGCACGATACTGATGATCTTGTCGAATTTGTCGTATGAAATGCTTGGCTTTGCGGTTGTTTAAGTTGCTTGTGTGGCAGCGTCTTCTGCTTAAAATTAGCCCCAGCGTTCTCCGTATGCTTTCTAGTACAGACAGCCCCTCTACACAACCCCTTTTCTTCAACCGTATGTTTGGATCTCATCGAGAGAGGATGCTATATCAAAGGATGTTTTGCCGTCATCTTTTTTTACAAAATATCTAGTTGTTCACCCCAATGTAGAATGAACTTTGATGTATTTTATCTCTTTGAGATTTCAGAGGGGGCTGAACGCATGCCGTATCTGCACTAATAGCATCAACAATTACATCAACAACAAAGGCACATAGCAGAACATATTACAGTGAAGGCGCAGCAAAACAGGATATTTTAAGCGCCTTTGCTGCTGTTTGACCGCTTTCGTTTAGCCTACGTTCAGCGCGTCTGCCCAGCACCAGCAAGCCGCATATCATTAGATTTCCTTTGCATTTTATTATCTAGCTGTAATACACAAGTCAAAAGTTAAGATTGAATAAATTATATTTTTTCGGACGTAGTGTTGCAACCATAGTATTAATAATTAGTGCCCGTCGAATTTGTGCGTGCGTAAATTAAGAAGCACCAACTTGAAAAACATTGTATTAGATAAAGGCGAGTTTTCTTAGGATCGCGTTGGGTCACTTTGTCGGCCATGTGACAGTGGCCATCATTTAAGAATTTAGACCGATCAATCAAAGAAATCTAATGGTATTAATATCTTTTGTTCGTTAAACTCTCGCTACAAGAATTTTCATATGCAATGGCACATGGATCTATTAGAAGCAGATGTTGAGCGCATACTCTGTGTCCTGAAATTGGATGAGTTCGCAGCTGGAAGCTGTAACATTTTTAGGAGATTGATCATTCGTATTTGCTGGATCAAGGGTGGGACAATTGAAGCACCGCAGATTGCTGCATGCACAAAATGATTATCAAAAGTCCAGCCTCTTCTTCCAACAAAACTGCTGCAGTCTGGCTGATGAAAAAATGGATCTAGGAATAAGCCTTTGCGTGTAAGAATAAGTTGATATCCTGGACCGCGATTACATTCAAAAAGAATAAGAGGCGCTTATTGAAGTGAAACAAAGCTCGCGTAATTTTAATACGACAGATATCAAGCGCCTGTCAGTGCCAAAAATGCATTAATAAAACTTTATTTCTTTGTGGCCGTACTTCGTACTCTCATAAAGTGACACCCGTGTCATTCAGTCGGATCTCCATGAAATGTTATCAAGTATATGCAAAAGATGGCACGCTAAAGCAAGTAAGTTCGACACGAGAGACTTCATTTTCTAGACAAACGCTACATATCATTTCACATGGGTACGTGTCTGTAGCGTTGCGTAAGTGCTCCAATACATAATCGATCATTCATTTTAAGGTCACACAACTAGTTTTCTCATATTCTTCGCAAGAGACTTTTTATAAGACACGCTGTTAGAATTTGGCACAATTTTTTCTCTAGTTGAGTGGGACGAGTGCATATCGGCAATCCGAAGTAACTATCTGGTTATGTGACTACTTGTGACACACGCACAAAATTAGCTTATAAATTAACCAAAGGTAAATTTGATTACTTATGCAAGTGCTGGACGATCATAGCACAGGACGATTGCGTGCTCGAGTATACTGTAATAAATTGATGCATAAATTAACCGCATACTACTCATTATTCAGTGAGTGCTGTTGTGATGTAGTGATTTGCAACCAGAACATACTTAAACAAGTAACAGCAGGTTTTTATTACGCGAGTAAAATATCGCTTTTTTTTGGACACGCACTTTGATCTTTACAACGACGTCGTACGCGTTGGTCATCGACAATGTTCTTTGCAACTGTCTAATTTAGACTATAACTCTCCTTCACGAATTTTGCAATCCTTAATAGTGGGGATATTAGTAACTTTGCGTATGGGACGTGTGTAACGGGGCACCGGTCGCTCGTACTGTCATAGTACAAGCTACATACAATGAACAAAGAGTTAGGTGGTGCATTGAGACTTCAAGTACACGCGTCGTGCAGTTGAAGGGTTCAACACGAAAATAGAAGGGTAAAATTGAAGTGTATTAGGTAAATTTTATCCTATCAATAAAATCCTATTTGTGTGTATTTTTATAACATCTAATTACAAACATGTATTGTAACCATCTACTCACCACCCATTGGGTTCTTCTGTCGTGGCTCGGCTTCATAGATATCTTGGTCCTACGTCATCTAATGAGCAGTGTGTTACTTCCGCAACACAACACTACTTAGTAAGCCAATATTGTGAGAACATTCTGCTTGTCCGAACCGGATATTCGTCTTGATATTTACCTGATGTAAACTATCATGTGATGGGGGCACACCGTTACATCACCCCCCCCCCCAAAACCATCAGTCACATTAGGTTATAATTGATAAATAATTGACTCCTCTGAGTAATTTTGGGAAAGGGAAGCACTTTTTGATCTTTATGATATGTTTCTTTGTTCCCCCGCATGTTTATTAGTCCATGCGGTGTGCAGTTAAAGCAGTTGGATATGCAGCAATCACAACAAGATTCGCTGCGACGGATAAGGCAAATGCCGTGAACGCAGCAGGAGATAACTCGCCTTCTGCACCATCTGATGCAATCTCACTCGGTGATGCACCGCTTGCCCTTAATGATTACTACCTCGAGTTGATTTACGCTGGTGAGTCGGACGGCAAAAACGAGTCGATGAAGGATTTCAAGAAGACGGATCTGAAAGCTGCGATGACAGAGCCGAGCAAGCCGGCCTTGCAAAGCGATGTGAGCCTCTCCAAGCGCCGTGACGTCTCAGATCGTCCGAGGAGTCAGTCGATCAATTATGACGTTGATGCACTTTTGCGTCACAGTCAAGACCACCGTGCTGACATCGGTGTCGGTAGTTTATTGGCTCCAGGCAGAAAGCCAGAGACTGCTACGTATTGCGTGTTGCTATTAAGAAGAAGACATAATCGACTCTTCATTAAGTGTTTGAACGCTATTCCGACAAAGTGGGCGATCGTTATCAAATAGTGCTGCTCGGTTCATCAAGGCTTAATGGCTTTGATTCTAGTGCGGAAAACTTTCGCACTGATTATGGCGTTCTACATTCAAGTGTTCCTCAGAAATCGATAATACAGAGGGAAACATAAACGTGATGAAGCCTCGCTAATCCAGGCATGAAACGTCTCCATCCACAATGTTAGGGGGATTGGGCGAGATACCTGGCTGGACAAGCTGACCCTATCTCGTTTTAGATCCAAGAAGCTGATTTTCAGTGTTGCGAGTATCAAACTACATCGCTTACCGAGAGAGGAAAGATTACCCTGCCTTGCCTGGGGTGATGCGTGCCAATTCTGTGTAACACTTAAACACGAGCTCCAAAAGATGCTTTGATTAATGACCGATCCCTACTGGTGTGCTTGCGTCTCGATGAAAATGTACGATAAAGAGATAATTATTTTACCCTAAACAAGAGCGCTGGGCATCCATCCTCCATTGGATCTTCTTCAGCATCGAATGTGCCTTGTCTTAGTGCTCGGCAAGACCCGACACGTCCATCGAAAAAAAAGTTGCGAGCGAGGTTCCCAACTATCATCCAAATGCGGATAGCCACGCGACCGGTTGAGGTATCTCGTCCGACGTCCTTTTACAACGTGGTGGTACAACAATCGTTCCAAAAAACGTTGATTACAGCGAGTATTATCAAAGGAATGAGGTAGAGGAGGGAACAGTTTCCCGGATGGAATAGCGGGGCCACTCCGATGCAGCGATTCATCTCACCGCGTAACGTTTGAATGGCGCGAGGAATTTAAACACGATAGAGGCAGAAGTCAGAATTTGCTTATAATCGTGGACCGTCTGAGCTCAGATCAGGAGAAGGTTAGGGTAGAGCTTGCCTTTCCCAGCTGGCAAATTAGCTGGAACAGCGTCATCTCCGCGATTAGCTGACGGAAGCTCATTGGGGTATATCTAGGCTTCACAAGGAGTTATTTGAATTTTATATGAGGTCTTAAAGCCACGATCATGAGCACAAGCATCGGTTGGAGGTGCTTGAGGGCAACGTATTCTTTACCAAAAGAAACCTTGTACTGATAGTACTGCCTAAGTCAATTGTTGTCGAATGTAGGATGATTGCGTATATTACATGGCAATCTAATCATGTATTTTTTTGCCTAAGCGGTGGAGCACACAAAATGAACCGGCGAACTTGGGTAGTAACTTATTACCTTTAAATTCGGCCACTGTGTCCAGGAATTTTACTTTAGATAGTAGGACGCCATTTCATAATGGATAACACTTGCCCTATTATTCTAGTCAGCGTTCGTTTTGTGAAATTACCGTCTCTGTGATAGAGTCTTGTACGAAAAAAAAGCCGTTTCGTGAGCCAGCATAAATTTATCTGCTCACCAGCCGTTTTTAGTCGCAGTGCTCTTGGAGCGTGTTATAGCAAAATGACAATTCGCCTCTGTGAGTGTGACGTTGGACGCACTAGGCGTGATGCCAATTTGATCAGTAGCGTGACCAGTAAGGTTATCTTCGATCTCGTATTGGTCTTCTTCACGAAACTGATGTGATCGCTATCTCTATTTACATGATGACCGCATTTACAGCAAATAAAGACTGAGAGTCAGATTGTCGGTCGCTCGAATTATTCCCTTTACTCTAAAGTGAGCGTCATACTCTAGAAAGACTGGAAGACGCGGATGGCGTAAGCCATTCACGAAGATCGGCGTGTGCGTTGTCGACGCATGGACTGGGTGGTTTATAACAAAATCCACCATCGGCAGGTATTCGCCTAAATTCGTAAAGGAATCGACGTATCCTCGAAGTATCTCCTCGAGGACAAAATTGGCGCCTCCGGTTTACCTATCTGTTTTAGGATAGTCAGACGTGGAAATACTTAAGCACGTTCCGAGTATTTTGAACACGGAACGCCAGAACTCAGCTGTGTATTGCGGGTCCTGATTGGACGACTTCACGAGACGACCTATGAAGGCCAAAGAAAATGTCGATAAAGGCACGAGCACATACCGATGCTTTAATTGATTTGATTACATCAAATCTTGTATTACCTTGCTGAAACCTGTCCACGAGCAATGCCTTGATAAACCTGTCAACGAGCACAAGAATACCAGTATTCTTGTGAGGCTCTGCAGGAAATATAAAGACAAAGTCCACTAAAATAGATTTTGAGGACTAGGCCGGGACGGGCAGAGGCTGCAACGGGTCTTGAAGGGAAGGACTGGACTCCACCTGTTGGCAAACCTCACAGGCCTGAGCATATTATTGCATGAACTGGTACTGGCGGAGCCAGAAAAAGTCGCGGCTCGCTGTGAGGTAAGTTTTATTACAGACATTATGTATACTAACAGGTGCGTTGTGGTTTCCAACATACTAAGCAATCGCAGATCACAACGATCTGGTACGACGACACAAGGTGAGTCGCCGGAAACAGCGGGATGATAAAGTGATTTGTTGCGAATTGTACATCTACCCGTAGAGAATTACTATATTAACGACTACTACAAGATGCTGATTAAATGTTTGCAAGAGATGATGCACCAATCGCACCATTACCGGATCACAAGCTTCTTGTATGTCTTCCAAAACGTTTGACGACGTAGCCCTTAAAATAATTACCGCGACAGTGGTCGGACCGATGTAGGGTTGCGCAGACGGCTCTTTGGCGCGAGAGTGCGTCTGAGACGACGATTAGTGATCGTGGCTGAAACCCGACGTAGAAGTTATAATGCGCAAATAATGGCAGTTACCCTGACATCTGCTGCGAGAGGTGTGGACTGTTTACGATCGTGAGTTAATACGCATGGTCCATACAAACAGTGAAGGGTCTATCACATATCAGATAGAATTTAAATTTAGCCAGCGCGTACTCCATGGCAAGGTGTTTCCTTGTCATGAATGGGGTATTACGATTGGCTGGTTGCTTCTGGCGTGACTGGTAACAGACGACACACTCTGAATTGTCGGCATCTTCATGAATTGATGTACAGCCAATAGAAAAGTCGCTGATATTACAGACCACGCGGAATAGCCTGTCTCCGTTTGCAGATGGAAAAATGGCGATCCTATCAAGCTTTAAATAATACTTTCGAAAGAGCGTTAGCGGTCGGCAATCTATTCCCGCGTCTCGTTCATTTTCTAGATTGCACTATGCGTAAAGTACAGCTAGCCGCGTTATTCACAGACAGGCATAGAAATACACATGCTCAGAATTTTGTTTTGGCAAAATCGGCATCAATCTTGTGCACAGTCACTTATGGATTCACCCTTTGGGATCACGATCGTTTATAGTTATTTGGAAAACTTTGCATCTTATAGAATAGAGATGAAAGGCTGAGTGTTGTTAAACTCAAATATCTATATAACCACACAGAGGTCAATAATTCATTTTTTTATTTAATATAAATTGCAAACCTCTTTATACGTTGCTTACCACTATAGAAAGTTTTTTAATTACAGCCCAAGGTTGTGCACGATTATCTGAAGGGGAAAGGCGTCAATCGTAGTCCTTTCAAAGAAACTAGCTATGTCGTCGTTTACAATTGATAAAGGTAAGAAGTAGAAAAGATGGCTTCGTGATAGCTCAAAGATTCATTTCAAACTAATGTATTTATGCTTAAAAATTCACAATACCGTCCATCTCTTAAATTATCTATCTTATCGATTCCTCGTCCGCATATACACGTTTTTATTGCACTTACATCGTAAAGGTCTTTATGATCAACACAAATATCCACTTCACGTTCATTTTAGTTTTTCCTATCCGTGAAATACATTAATATGTACAAATGCACGTGTAAATATATGGACCTCTTTGTGAAACGTTACAACGCCCACCAAAATTTCGTTGATTATCCACCACACATACATATTACCGTGATTACTCGATTTACGCCTTCTGATTGAAAGGATTGAGATAATCACCATCTTCGAAGCAATTTGCAATCTAATTAACAAGTGATAAATGTTAGATCTGAATTTTTCATGCATTTCTTCAATCAGTAACATGTGGCAATTTATTGTGCGAATTCTTCCTCCACTATACACTGTAACCCGAGCAGCAAGTAGTGGCGGCAACCTACGGTTAAGGACGACCCCCGATATAAGAAAGTACAATTACCTAGTTCTATTGAACCTGCTCGCGTAAATCACCGTACGGTACTTGTCTTCAGATTCCAAAACGATGGAGGCGAGGCCAAGACGTAATCATTGCAAGACTCCAGTTCACGTGTCATGGAAGAAGAAAGCATTGTCAAGAGGAAAAGAAGTACGTGAGGGTCGTTACTACGGTGCTAATGTGTGTTCGTCACGATAAGGGAACTTTGTAGTGGTGCTCTGTTATGTGACTTGACGGCGTACGTATTACAAAAGCATTAAGTGTGAAAATGCTCGACACTTATGAAGTAATATACCTCGACTAGTGATGCCGCTAATGGGTTAAAGATATAAGAATCGTGGCTTCAGCAAGGCTACCATTACGAGCAACGAGTGAGAAATTTGTACTGGCATCCAAGCGCAGGAGGTCGACAGGGTTACACCCTTACGTGGCTTTCCGATTGTAGGCTTATTCCGCTATACAATAACAAAAAATTTCGTGGAAATGTTGACGAGTTGGGGGATGTAGGAGATTATTTGTATGATGTTGCGGTGTGTAATGAGCTTAGATAAGACAAAAAATATGACGGTTACATAATGATATTACCAATCAGAAGACATGAATCGAGCAAGTTACGGTTATATATAATTCCTACGGCGACTATCTCAATCCTACCAATCAGAGGGCATAATCGAGGTCATTACGATTGTATACAGAAGTGGTGGGTGGACAGGAAAAATCTGGTGGGTGGTTAACGTTTCTCTTATGCATACATAAATTCTAATGCATAGCGCCACCATCATTAGATATAACGCAAGAAGCGCGCCTGGTTTAATAATTAAACTCAATGAATACAAATAATCTATCCAATGGTGTTTATGATGTCGTATATCTTCGTGACCAATCAATTGAACCTTTTTCAAATTGAAGATAAATGATATTAATTATCGGTGGCTGGATAACGAAAGGGTGGTTGCTATAAATGGCTCCTTAAACGTTAAATGGAGGCTTTCCCTCTATTTGGGTTCACAATCGTCGTGTGTCAAGGTAGAAACAAAATTTTAAACAGTCCCCAAAAAGATATCTTCAACTAGCATCACTAAATCCATGAGCACCCGTGACCCTTGTCGTTAGTACGAAACGCTGCGACAGTCATCGAGTGTAATGGACCACTTAGAGTATTAATCTCTGAATTCATTACGCGCTACTTGACCTGTCGGTGGCCCAAGGCATACCGTGTGAGCAGGAGTATGGCTGATTGCTGTTGCAATCTCGTTTATCGGCCATCCCATGGGATATAGCTTATTTCGATCTTTTATCGGTGCGAATTACGGCTTCCACGGTCTTGCGGTGATCGATCATGACCCATAAAATACACAATGGCTTAAAGCCTCTGCTTGACCTATTTTAACTTGACCGCGGAGAGAATATCGGTGCCCGCGACTGGCTTGAGGGATCGTGACCCTGATCCAACAGTTTGAATTGAGATTGTAAGTAGTGGTGCGAACCATTGAGATCAAACATTACAAACGATGTCAATTTGTCCGCAGGCGAATGTCATTCCTGAGCAAGATTATTGCGAGATTCTAAATACCTCCTTCAAGCAAGTTGACGCCAATTTAAAAGGGCCATCCTTGATAATGATTTTGTAGTACGGCAAGCTGTTGCAATGAAGTCTGGCCGCTGATAATTTTACCATTAAAAAATTATAACCTCCACAAGCTAAACGGTTTGGACCGCCACAGTGGCCTTTTTATGGTCGTTAATATAAAACTTATACTCGTAGCGTATAGCCTATAAGGTTAGTATAAGTTTATAAAGGGGCAATCTGTACCAAAAATGGGGGGGAAATCTATTCAAGCCAAGCATCGAGGGTAGTTTGTGGCGTTGGTACTGCGCATGTCAGCCAGAAGGCTACAGAGTAATTTGTAGCAGAACGGTGAATTTACTGAGACATATAATGCAAGGTACTTTCACTATCTAAGATGTTAATTTTCTCGCACTTATTCAATCTGTCTGTAACTGCCTCCTCCTCAAATTCCGGCTTTCGCAGTATCTTGATCATTAATCTCTGGACAATTGCTCGCGTCTTTTTTGTAGAGACGAGAAGCTTATATATGTAGAGTCTACCAAAAAAAAGGCACATTTCTCCCCACAAATTACATCAATCCAGCAAACGAACAGGTTGACTACATGTCTTTAAAGTGAAGGGACAACCTGATTCTTAGTTAAAATCGAAAGGTGAGGTCCTGGAGACCTTATTCTGCTGATTTGTGGAGATCCCAGGGTGGGGTGGAAGTGAAGTGGGTGATACTGGTGGAGGATTTGCCCTTTTATCCTTCAATTATTGACTTTTCTGCAGTTTATTTAGGCACCAACTAAGTAGACACCCCTACTTTCTACTTGGACACCCCTCGATGAAAGATACGAATTTTTTATGAACCCGGTGCCCATGAAACTCAATGCGTAATTTTTATCATTGATAAACATTACAATTTCCCGTGCAAGCCACAGAGACAGCACCGGCGCGTCCAGTGTACGTTTTCGTTGTCGTTCTTCGTGCAATGGTACACACAACTTTATCATATGTGTACAACGTAGTGTTGTCGTTCGGTTTGTCGCAGGTTTCACTGCTGCATCGGCTGCCTTACTAACGCCAGGTATTTGGTACGATAAATTGATGAGAAGCTTTACGCTGATGTGGCTATTCAACTAATTTGCCACGTAATTTGCTTTCATTATACTCATGTAGATGTTTCGCCGATGTGGTATGGTACGCTGCTATAGCATCTCCTCGTACAGAGCACAGCGGGCATAAAAAGTGATTTACAGTGCTGCCCTGTAAGCTCTGACCTCCCTGTGCGCATTCTCCAATCCACTTTGACAAATGCGATCTCAACCGCTGCATTGCGGATCCTTGGACACGACCATGTGAGATAATTGCATCTTCTGCACCCTTTAAAGTGACAGTGTCGGTTGGCCGGAGCTCATAAATATGCAGTACGTACAGAGAAGGTTTATAGAGGACGAAACGTATGGTTGAATAGCCAGTACTGGATCCTCCGCAAAGGTGCAGAGCGCTGTTTTTTCCTTTTTTTTCATCGTTTTTGTCACTGGCTACCTTTTGCTCTTCCCTATCAGCTTTTCATGACCACGTAGTTTTAACCGTGATCGTCTCTGGGACACTGCCGAAACATGATCTTAGGAAGGAGAATGTGCTAAATTAAGGCGAGCACAAAAAATTTAATATGAAAAACGTGAGGTGTTGTGAGATGGAGAGAGGAGTGGAGGAGGGTCTAACATTCTGAATTGCATCGATTCTCTTTTTTTATATAATTTCAGTGGGCACCGGTACCGTCAGTTTGCTACATCTTCATTAAAGGGGTGTTCGCGTTATAAGTAGAGGTACGGGTTTTATAAATTATCGCAATTTCCTAATCCAGGGGGTGTCCGCGTAGTGAGCAAGGAGTTTCTACCTTGCCATTCCCTAATTTAGGACGCACCCCTGATCCGTTTTGAAAAACAACCTCTGTTAAATGATATAAAAGTATATCCACCAAGATAAAAAGTCAGAAGAGGGAGGAGGGCTGTATACTGAATGAATTTATCGTCGATTCAGCTTACCTAAAGAAAACTAGATGATTCCTTTACCTGACGATTCGACGTAATTTTCGCGGTCAGTAGTCGTAAAAAATGACAAGCGGGTAACGTACTTCTACAATGACGGCGACCATGAAAATCTTCGTGTTCTCGGACAGGATCAAGCTAAGATGAAGGCTATAGTTATTGGGCCACATGTCATCAAAAGGGTACACAAACTACGGCACGCTCACAAATAAAGGATCGACGATGCAGCAGGGTGGCATTGTGTAATGTAACGGGGCACCCTGAAGCTTGTACTGGTGACAGTACAAGCTACTTATTCTGATGACAGAATAAGGCGGTGCCTCGTAACTTCACGTACACTCGTACGTGCAGAGGAAGACGGTAAGAAGAAGCGAGTACTTGGTTAAAGTAAAAAGTAGAACTGTATTTATAATAGTTAATGTCTGCAATAAATCACTATTTATCTTCATCTAACCATGTCTAAATACAAATGTGTAAATCAAATATCTGCTCACCACTCATTGCGTGCGTCTGTCGTGGCGCGTCTTCGTTGGTTGATATAATGGCCTATATCAACCAATTAGGAACTACTTGTAAGTGCAACAGAATATTTGTCCTTATGACAATATTCTGAGAATGTAACTCTTATAGTTATATTCTATTAACAATTTCTTATAAATTGTTATGTAACGATTCCCCCGTTACATCACCCCCCCCCTTAACCATCAGTCACTTTAGTGACTGATTGACTAAATGGATACTCGTCCCAAATCATTTGGGACAGGGTTTGCACTTGTTGGTCCGCGTCCACTTTCCAACATTTCATCGCATGGTTAACAAGCCCATGCGGTGCGCGAGCAAGGCCACCGAGAGCGCGTCCGCACGTCTCTGTGCGGACATCGAAGCAGAAATCGCAGCAACTGATGTCTCATCGGTTGCTGAAGCGACTTAGCCTGTGTCACTTGGTGAGGCAGGCGCTCGTCATGAAGACACTCATGTCTTCACAGAGTATGAGCTCGGATTCTCATACTCTCCTGATACGGAAGACGGATCCGTATCGACGGCGATCGAATCCAAGCCGCCTGCCAAGCACGGCATGGACGATGCTATGCGTCGTAGAATCTTTGGTTCATCTGATGAATCAGATGAACCATCGCCAAAGCGAAGGCGCTAGAGGTCGCGAGACTCGGGCGCTAATAGTGGTGTCGGTTCTCCAATGGACACCACTTCACAGCGAGGTGCCAGTACTTCTGTCGGCACGTCGCAGGAAGAGCGGGACCACAGTGTCTCGCGTCTCACTCCTGAGAAGAAGGCATGGATGCCTCCAAAATCCGTCATGGATCACTTGTCGGCGACGACGAGTGATCGCTATCGAACACGATTGTTCGATTCATCAAGGATCCATCACCTTGACCCCAGTGAGAAAAACTATCGCGCTGAGAATGATTTCTTCATCGATCCTTTCCTTGGTTAAACATCGATGGTACAGTGGGAATCACAAGCGTGATGGTCCCTCACTACTTCAAGCGTGGAACGCCTACATCCATAACCTCGAGGATGTAGGTCGTGACGCTTGGAACGACAAACTTATCAAAGCTCGTAATAAGTTTGAAAAGCGAACCCCGACAGGTGCACGCTACAAGCTGCATCGTCTGTCAAGGGAGAAAGGATTACCCTGCCTCTCTTGGGGAGACCCGTGCCCATGTTGTGTGAACAACTCTGCACGAGCACCTAAGGAGGCTTACCTCCTTACCAGCCCGTGGTGGCGCGTACGTGTCTCTACTGAGATGTACGAAGGGATTGACAACCTGAAATCCCTTTACGACCGTGCCGGGAAGACTTTCTCCGGCGGTCCTTCTGCGGCACAGGATGTGCCGCGTCGTACTGCTCAACCAGACCCAGTACGTCGATCATCAGTTGGGAGCGGGGCTCCCAAGAATCCCAGGACGGGGGATAACCGCGCCACCGGACGAGATAACTCGTCCGACGTCCGTTCACGTCGCGGTGGTTCAACAGCTGCTCAACTAGATAGCGCTGGCCACCGCAAGAGTCCTCTAATGGAGGTGGAGGAGGAGGAAAGACGCTCTCCACACGATCATGTGGATCGGTGTGTTCCCGAGAGCTTCTTTGATCGCGTAACGCAAGGGTTACGCGACGATCTCGAGCATGAGCGGAATAGGCGTCTCCAAATGGCGGACACTGCCTCGAAGCATCGAGCTGAGTTTGCCTTTGCTCAGCTTGAGAACGAGAGATCTCTGACATCTCTTCGTGACGAGCTAAGGGTAGCTCGTGGGATTGCTGATCGGTCTCGGGCTGAGATAACTGCTCTTCATACCCTTGTCGATGTCCACCATCGGGAGCACAAGGCTCTCTGCGAGATGCTTGAGCGCAAGGGCGTTCTTCATCGGAAGAAGCAGCGTACTGATGGTACGGCTTAAGCCGACCAACGTAAAACGTGGGATGCGTTCGCATCTTACGTGGCAACTCGATCGTGTATGCATTGCCTAGGCGGTGCAATACACGAAAAGGGCCAACGTACTTGGGTATTAGTTTACTGCTACCCAAGTTAGTCACTACATGCTTTGTTAGATTAACCGTAGACAGTAGGACTAAGTCGCCTTTGTTAAATAAAAGAGTGTTTGCCCTTCCATTCTTGTCAGCGTTTTGCTTTTGCTTGTCCACCGCTTCGGCGATGGAGTCTTGCACAAAACGGACTACCGTTTCACGAGCCAGTATGAACTCATCTGATGACTCGTTAGCTTCAGTGTGCTGTGAGCGCACTGCAGCAACAACAACCTTTTCTTCAGCGAGGGCTTCCGCACTCTCACTGGGATCATTGTCTTCAGTGAGGGCTTCCGCACTCTCACTGGCATCATCTTCTTCGATATCGATGTTATCGATATCGGCATCAAACGCAATGACTTCTTCGTCAGAGCGTGATGAGCGTGAACCAAATCGGTTATTGCTCGCGCGAGTCCCTCCCCCCCTTAAACCAGAGTTACACTCTAGTAATGTGGGTACACGCGGATGGCGCAAGCCATTCACGTAAAACGGTGTATGTGTCGTGGACGCATGCACCGAGTTGCTAATGGCAAACTCTACCATTCGCAAAAACTCACTCCATCTCTTAAAGGAGTGTACGTATCCTCGAAGTATCTCTTCAAGGACACGATTGGCACGTTCCGTCTGACCATCTGACTCTGGATGATCAGATGTTGACATCTTTAAGCGCGTTCCGAGTGATTTGAACACGGAACGCCAGAAATCAGCAGTGAATCGTGGATATCTGTCTGACACGAGTTCACGGGGCAACCCATGAAGTCGGAAGATGGTGTCAATAAAGACACAAGCACAGCCACTTGCCGTGATTGTCTCTGGTACAGCCACAAGGTGTACCATTTTGCTGAATCTGTCAACAAATACGAGAATACCCGTATTCCCGCGAGCGTCTTTGGGTAACCCGAAGACGAAATCCATTGAGATGGATTCCCAGCACTCAGCCGGAACCGGTAGAGGCTGTAAAGGTGCACGCAGTGAAGGACTTGACTTCACTCGTTGGCAGACTTCGCATGCGCGAACATACTTTCGCACAAACTGATACTGGCGGGGCCAGTAAAAGTCTCGACTTACCGTGAGATATGTTTTCTCTCGGCCACGATGTCCTCCTACAGGAGCATCGTGATACTCGAAAATGATCCGCAAACGCAGATCAGTATCATCTGGAATGACAACACGTGGTGTGTCACCAGTAACTGCTGTACAATACAGTAAACCGTTGCGAGTAGTGTATCGATTTAATGCAGATCGATACGCAGACGATAATCGGCTCAACGATTCTCGAGATGGTTGTGAGAGATGTGCCAACAACTTCACAATCTCTCCATCTTGGGCATACGCCCGCCGCACATCATCGTGCAACGTTGTAGATGGTATGGTGGACGTCATATCCGCAACAGTGACTGTCTCACTGTTGGGTTTCGCGACTGTTTCAAAGTCGGGACGACGTGAGAGTGCATCAGCGACGACATTGAGTCTTCCTGGTTTGTACTCGACCGTAAAGTTGTATTCCGCAAAGAATGACAACCACCGCGCCATTCGTTGTGAAAGGTGCGGGCTGTTCACTGCCGTGCGTAATGACGCATGGTCAGTGTAAACAATGAAGGGTCTATCTCCTAATAGATAGACTATGAACTTCGCGAGTGCATACTTCATGGCAAGGAGTTACTTGTCATGCAATGGATAGTTCCGCTTAGCTGGTCGCAGCTGACGCGACTGATAGCAGACAACGCGTTCAACGCCTTCAAGATCGTACTGCATGAAGGCACAGCCGATTGCGAAATCGCTGGCATCACAGACCACATGAAATGGCCTGTCCTGATCGGCAATTGCGAGGACTGGGGATTGTATCAAGCTCTGCTTGATATCATCAAAGGAGCGCTGAAATTCAGCGTTCCATAACCACCTCTCGTTATTTTTAAACAAACGAGAGAGGTGTACAGTCATTTCGGCGTAATTGCGTGAATACTTTTGCAAATGCGCCGCTAGCCCAAGGAATTTTCGAAGACCTTTGACATCAACTTGCACAGGCCAGTCGGTGATCGCCTTGATCTTTTCAGGATCAGGACGTACACCGTTCTTACCAACGGTGCACCCAAGAAGTGGTATTTCGCTTGCTGCAAATATACACTTCTTGAGGTTTGCATACAATTGATGCTTTCGCATGATTGTAAGAACTTGTCGAACGTGGTACCTGTGGACCTCAACGTCCGACTTTCCATCCATAGCTCGACTATGGATGAATACGTCATCGAAATAACTCGGCGCGAATTCTCGTACTGGTCTCAACAGATGTGATACACATCTGTTGAACGTGGCAGGGGCATTACTAAGCCCTTGTGGCATTACTGGCCATTCCCAGAGCATGCCGCTAGGCGTGCTAACTGCGGTATAGGGTATATCCCGTTCACGCATAAGGATCTGATAGAAGCCATCCATCAAATCCATGGACGAAAAGATGGTACTCTTTGACATACCATCAATGATTACGTCCTTCCTCGGTATCGGCGTCTGAGCCGGTACCGTTGCAGCGTTCAATTTGTTGAACGCGTGCACTATCCGCCACCTTCCTGTTGCTTTTCGCACACAGAAGGTCGGAGAGCTATGTGGGGAAGTTGATTCCCTCACATGGCCCGCAGCTAAACGATCGGCAAAGAACTTGTCGATCGCAAGTACTTGTTCACGAGGCAGTGGCCACTGCTTCATGACACAGTACTTCGAGCCTGGTTTGAGCTCGACTTCGTGTCGAATACCTTTATCCTTCGGTAATTCGCACGGAACAGTTTCAGGGAATACATCCTTGAATTCAACCAAATCTTCATAGAGAGGATTTTTCTTGAGCGATTCCCATGATTGGGAGTCACATCGCTCAATTCGTGTCTTTTCATCTAGGACACTCTCGTCCATAGATGAACTACTGAGAACTCTCTCGTTCTCAGTGAACACTGTTGCTGACCTTATGTCGGTTACACACTCGTCGTCAGCGACGAGTACGCAGATCTGCTTGACTTTGCCACTACGCAGATCACGCAAGAACCTTTGATGTTCGAGCGTTGGAAACTGAGTGATCTCCGAAGTTAACTTCGGAGGCGCAATCAGATCAAGTGTATAAGCGCCTACACTTGATCCGTTATTGAATATAACATTCAATGTCACTGTCATTTCCTGGGGACTTATTCCCTCAGGCTTCGAAGGACTTATTCCTTCGTCTTCCCGGGGACTTATTCCCGCGGGTTTCGGGGAACTTATTTCCACCGTATTGCAATATCGGGACTTATTCCCTTTACTTCCTCTAGCTGGGGTTACGCAACCACAGCGAGATCCTCTACGAAAGACTCTCCAGTCGATCTAGGATTATCGTTTCGCTTAACCTGAGCGATCGATTGTTTCTCTTCTAGATGGTCCCCGCTAGGGATACATCTTTGTCCCAGTCCACCCGACTTATTCGAGTGGTGGACCTTCGGCGCAGCCTGTGTTTCCTCACAGCCGCCGGAACTTTGCTCCGAAGTGTAACCGTTTGGTACACTAAGGTTTTGTGCAGTCGTACTAACGACCGTACCACAAGTGAGGCCATCGCACTCACTCGTAGTACATCCACGCGCTTGTGGACGCTCCAAAACGTTCATCAGATGGCCATCTGATGAACAAGCGGCAGGCATCGTTACTGTTCGATGTTGCCAGTTTACTCGTGGTTCGTACCTTCTGAGCCACGGTATTCTAAGGATGACATCAAATTTGTCATCTAAATCGAATACGATAAAGTCATCATCATATTGGGTATCTTCTAGCGTATAGTGGATCTTCACTATACGCTTCATGACGGTTACGGATGCGCCTGTCGCAAGACGTACCTTCATCCTCGTAGGAGGTGTGTCACATTCACTGAACTTAAAGTGACCATCTTCTAGCGATTGGCGTCGCACAAAATTGTTGGACGCCCCACAATCGACTAGAGCTCGAAGGGACAACTTATTCGTCACTTCGAGTTTCGAGATAATGAGTGAGACCTCATTACCTAGAGCAGCAACGCACAACGTTTGTGTGTTGGGAGCAACCTTCATCAAGAGGCCTACAAATTCTCTTGACGTTGCTAGACCAGTAGGGTGCTCCGCACCTACTGATCCTGTCCGTTTTTTGACGGTCCATCCCGTTGTTGCGTCTTTGCACCAACTGCGGACCCTCGTCCCTGCCCCTTTCTCATGGGTGGACGGTCACTACGCCCAGTGTCGCGAGACACTGGACGAGGGGCACTACACTCGTAAGCGTAGTGTCCAGTCTTTTTTTGACATTTGTGGCATCTCTGCAACTTCTTGTAGCCTGTAGAGCGAGCCTTCTCGCTCTCTACATAACAGAGTTCCATCGGCTCTGGACCTCCGTTGTCATATCGTCTCGGTTGACGATATGATGTCGAGCTGGCGCGAGCCTGTCTCAGACTGAAGTCTTCCTGTTCCGCAATGGAAATGGCTTATTCTAGTGAATCTAGTTCAAGCCGGAACAGGTGAGTCTTGACGGGACCATCCGCAAGACCCTGCATGAACACCGAAACCAACGTGTGTTCATCCACCGGATTGGAACTTATACAACTCGTGAGATGTCGTACATGTTGCGCGTAAGCGTGCACATTACGCTTACCTTGTTTGAGCTTCAAGAGTTCAGTTCGAGCCCTGAACTCAGCTCTAGGCGGTTCAAACGTTTGTCTGAGCCGCGACTTGAAGACTTCGAACGACCCAAACGCATATGGGTCGTGCAACTTGAGCCCCAGTGCCCAAGTCTTGGCACGTCCTGCCAGATTTGACTGGGCAAATGCAACTTGCATATCCCCGTCGTCGATGCGACGCGCCCTCATGGCGTCATCCAATTCGACGAACTATCTCAAGAGGGGGTCTTCTTCGACTCCCCTATTCTTGGAGATGTCAATCTTTAAAGTCTCGGGTCGACGCGAATGCATCAACCCACCAGCAGCAGCCTGCTGCTGTCTCAACAGTTCAAACTGTTGAGCACCCTGTTCTCTCAACAACACTGCTTGTTGAGAACCTTGTTGGTGAAGCAAGGCTACTTTCTCGCGTTCTGCGTCAAGTTCATTTTGAATGAACTTGGCGATGGTAGCATGTTGGGCATCTCTATTGAGAGCCTCTAGCATGACGCTAACAGCATGGATGCCCATGGTCGAACCCATTCGTTCAACCGCATCCCATTCGACATCGCTCAAATGGGAGTAGCCGTCACGCGTAGCGTGAAAGCTTTGGTCATCTTCATCATCCAACATATTCATGTTGGATGTGAACGTGGTCCTTGGACGGACTACGAAGTGCTACCAGGTGTAACGGGGCACCCTGAAGCTTGTACTGGTGACAGTACAAGCTACTTATTCTGATGACAGAATAAGGCGGTGCCTCGTAACTTCACGTACACTCGTACGTGCAGAGGAAGACGGTAAGAAGAAGCGAGTACTTGGTTAAAGTAAAAAGTAGAACTGTATTTATAATAGTTAATGTCTGCAATAAATCACTATTTATCTTCATCTAACCATGTCTAAATACAAATGTGTAAATCAGTTATCTACTCACCACTCATTGCGTGCGTCTGTCGTGGCGCGTCTTCGTTGGTTGATATAATGGCCTATATCAACCAATTAGGAACTACTTGTAAGTGCAACAGAATATTTGTCCTTATGACAATATTCTGAGAATGTAACTCTTATAGTTATATTCTATTAACAATTTCTTATAAATTGTTATGTAACGATTCACCCCGTTACATGTAATGTCTAAATGGCAGCCTCACTTCTTCATGTCGAAAGCGTATGACACAAAACGCCCAGAATCCTTAAATCAATTCGGTGACGTCGTCGTATCTGACGGACGATAGTACTGCAGCAACAATGTCAAGAAGAAGGTCGTTACAAACAAGCTTGCTAGGTTTTTTTTCTTGTTCCATTTAACACTAGCGGCAAAGTGCTGATGGGCCTGCATCATAGACGTCCTACCTCTACCTTGAACTACCCAGGTGGCCTCGCTAGCGCGCGGCAGACCAACTGACTCACCCTCTGCCAGCGAAGATCGGCTGCCGTTCGCGTTGTCGCACTATGAGCTGCAATGGATAGCGCCACCGACAGCTTGAAATATCTGGACACGATCTTGCTGATCGCTACCGCTCCTCACATGTCTCGAGTTCGACAACGACATCGTTTCGAAAGCCATCAAACGGTACGTTCGTAGTGGGAAGCAGTAGCTTAGTCGCCTGACATACGTCCGCAGACGTATCCAGAATGTCACGTTTTAAATATCGCATCGTAGTGTGGATTCGGCTTTTGTGGCCCGAAGTGAAAACAGGCGTCGACATGAACGGGATCTTTATTAAACAGCTTGTCATGTTTTTGCACTTGTTTCCACTGCAGCATCTCTAAAAGTACATTTATGCTGAGATGCACACGACAAACGGTGTGTACAAAACGCAACAGCAAATTACTGGCGTTGTTGGACGTGACAGGGAGGTATTTGCGATTTCTTACACCATGTCGTCTTCACCGGATCGTAAACATGTTATTTGTTCACAGGGTTTTTGCAAACAATGCGCGTTAAGAAAAGGATGCACAGCTAATTGGTCAAGACGTTGATCATGTAGGTCGTCAACGATACATGGAAACCTGTGAATCGTGGAATAGTTCATACCAGTAAAACGCTCCTACTGTAGGCAGAGCTAAAAGGAAAGCAACATATATTCGAGTTGGGCATTGAGTTTAGCTCACTCGATGCCTCAGCGGGTGTGCCATGCAGTGAAGATCGACAGACACAGTTAAGCGGGACCCGAGTGCAAGCTCCCTACGAATGAAAGTTTCGTAGACCGCGCTCGTCGACGTACACCTCCAGCTTCTGGTGGACTTCTTCATTATACGCAGTTTTCTTCATTCGACCAATCCAGGCTGACACCTTGGGGTACTGTGAAAACTGAAAGCCCATCATTCCCAGTTGGTCAATCTCGCAGTAAGCAGCAAAGTCGGCAATGGTCGGGAAGTTTGTATGGGCGATGTAGTCGTTCACCAAGAACACCTCGAGTAGGCCAAACACCTTGGCAATGAGATCGTCCGTGCCCCCCAAAGCTTCCAAGTCCTTCCCTGTCGCGCTGTTGTTTCTCTGGGCGGTCGCTGGGCGGAAGATGTTGATTGTAAAGAGACGCGTGTTGGTGTGATGCCAGTGCAAGTACTCGTCGATCTTGGCGCGCACCCTGATGTCGTTCGGATAAAGGTCTGCAGGGCCGGTCCAGTTGAACCGATCACCCAGGTACTGAAGGATGGCCATGCCCTCAGTCAGCACAAAATCCTCGTCCTTGATGACCGGCACAAAGCGGTTGGGGTTCAGGGCCCCGAATTCATCGGACTTGAAGAAGTCAGCGCCAGGGTTCATTTCCACGAGGTTAAAGTCGACATTCTTGACCTTGAGCACCCAGATCACGCTACGAGATGGCTGGCTAATGAAGTTAGCGTAAAGCTGGAGAGCGACGATAGCCAAGTGCTTCATCCGAACCGTGCAAAAAAAGAAGTGAGGTCAATACAGAAGCAAGAGCTGGCAGCTACAAAATGCCGGCACGTGTGGACCAGCCTATCGTCAGTTACTAGGCAGTGCAGCAATCGACCTTTGTGTCACACCTGTGGTGTCACATCAGAATGTGGTTGATGGTCTCGTTTTCTGCTCATACTTCGTTCAAGATGTTTTCGATGAGGATTTGATCACTATCACTCAAGAGTGAGTTGTACCTAGTGCATAGACAGACAGCTTTTGTCTCAAAGATTTGTCGTTGGCGTGAGGATTCACGTGACCGCAACCCGGTCCTGTTCATTTTGGACCTCTGTAAGTACATATTTGTGTGCGTGAACGATGAACTCGGTAAAAACACGCCAGCAGATGACAGTGGAGCGAATCGTCTGCTTACACCACATGGCGTCATCCAATGCGTGCGCCCGCGGCAAAAGACGTGGCAAGATGACAACCACGCGACGAGCGATTGAAAGTGCTGCAGGCGACTAAGACGACTTGGGGAGTCGTAGAGAGCCGTGGACCGCCGGCCTTCGATTGCGGAAGAAAAGGAAGCAAATGAATGTTCGAATCCTGGAGAAGATGCATTGATGGCTGACACAACTAGTGCCATCAATTGTGGGCGACTGTGACGAACGGTATGAATTCGTCTTGTCCAGACATGGATCCGTCTTGCGCGAATAGAAGAACGAGACATTTAACTTGAAGTTGGTGGCGATTTGCAGAACTACATCCGCTATCCATTGGCGCTCCGGGTGACGCAATGCTACTTCGTACCGCAAATGTTCGAACCTGTCTTGTCACAGAGGTGCAAGATCGAGTCCCTTCATCGACCCCCACATCTTATATATTTATAAATGCCACTGCAAAAATTTAGTCGTGATTCTCTGAGATCGACATTGATTGAACAATGCCATAGTGATGACGACGTAAGATTCAACTAATAAAACAACCCATAGGACTATTTCTGCAACGGATTCACACGTCCGTTATCGTCCTAAAGGGACATACCTTGTATAGTGATGTACAATCGCAAGTGTTCTCTGCGATAATTGGTGTGGTTGATGACCTCAGTCATCCATTGATGACAGATTGAAGCTCCATACTTGATATTTGATGAGCTAAAGATTACTATGCAAATTAGTTTAACCTTAGTATAGATTAGCTGGATGAGGTTTATTACGGGTAGAACTCAGTTCAGTCCTCCCCCCTATAAGTTATAGCCTTGGTGGAGACCAGACCCTATAACTCATCCGGGGTTATTCCATTTGGGAATAATCAATTAATTAACGATCAAAAAAGCTGACCATTTATTATTTTACAACTTATCAATACAGTACAATATATGCATAACTACTAGTATCACGATTGTCATTTATTGATCAAAATAGCGGACCACAGAACACTTTCTTTAACCCTTCTGGTGGGGGACACGTCTGGGCACCGCCTATGAAAATAATGGAGTCCTTGTGCGTACAATGCATTGTCTTTGTGAGTGCACCAAAATAACTTGAACACGTTTCATTAAACACAATTAATTGATTGCATCACACTCAACTGAGTCATTGAACTAGACACAGTTACAATCCTTCGTACACAGTTAAAGTACTGTACCTTGTTTACATTTTGAGCGCGATTGCGCAACCTTTCGCTACTCGCCTGGCGGGCTGGCCACCGGGGGTCTGGGTATAAAAAGGCAAACTTTTTCTCCCCCGACCAAACAAACATCCCTACATTCCTACATCCACACCTCACCTTCCCTCTCGCTTTCCCTCTCTAGCTTCCTGTCCACTTCCATTCCTCTCCCAAACCAACGAATTCCCTCAAAATCCCAGAACCCACACCTACCCAATATTCCACCCACTTACCTACCCACACATCAGAGATGTCTCAGATATGTCTAACCAACGACCAGAAGCTGAGGATCATCATACATGAGGATGATCATTCGAGCCTCACCCAGACAGAGCTTGGAAACTGGACGAAAGAGGCATTTGGCCTCCCCAAACCTATGACGCAGGCCTTAATCAGCAAGAGGAAGGAGCTTGAAGCAATGAGTCCATCAGATCTCTCTGCTAAGCGTCCCCGCTCAGTTCAACATTCTGCCTTGAAAGAAGCAGTGGTTCTCTGAATTTCGCAGTGCCATCATCGTGGAGTCGCCCTCACCGTAGACCTGATCCGTGCCAAAGCTGCAAGCTCAGCAACGTCCATGGATACTCCGGATGGATCAACCAAGTTTGCCCATGGGTGGCTCTACAAATTCCAGCAGCGCCACAATCTAAGGGCCGTCCGTATCCATGGCGAGAGCAGTTCAGCCAATGTGGCTGGACTTGAAGCAGCTCTACCAGAGTTGCAAGCAGCCGTCGCCAAGTTTGCTCCCCGTGCTGTGTACAACATGGACGAAACTGGTATGTTCTCCTGAAGTCTTTTATGCTCTGTATCACAAATGCCGAGACGATTTTTAGGATTATTTTACAGCATGACACCGGATAAACCATTGCCCAGAAGGAAGTTGCAATCTTCAAAAAATGCAAGGTGAGTTGCATTTGGCTTGTTGGAATCCGTGGGATCAATGGAATAGTTGACATGTTTGTCAGACTCGCATCACAGTGGCTCTGACCGCAAATGCTGATGGATCGGATAAGCTCCCTCCATTCTTCATCGACCGTTCAAAGAAGCCTCGTTGCTTCCAACGGAATTCAGTAGAAGAGCTCGGGTTTCTTTTTCGCTACAACAAGAAAGCCTGCATGACTGGGGTCTTTTTCCAGGAACGGCTTAAAAACCTGGAGAGAGACATGAAAGAAACTGAACATTTGCCCATTCAGGAGATATCAGCTGCAAAACAAAGCACTTACCCAGATTCTAGCGCCATGATAAAAAAACCTTCTGCTTGTGGACAATGCACCTTCGCACGTAACTTTAAATCTTGTGCTCACCAACGTCACAGTTCAGGCTCTGCCGCCCAATACCACATCCAAGGTGCAGCCAATGGACGCCGGTATCGTTGCTGCATTCGAGCGCCACTAACTACGTCTGCACCTACAGAACGCTTTGGATCACGATGATGCGGGATCGGCCTATCTCTACAAATTTGATCAAGTTACAGCCAAGTGTTGGTCACTTATGGCGTGGAGCGAGATTTCGAGCTCCTCCATTGCGAACTGCTTCAATCACACTGGACTCATGAATGGGCCGACTTCACCAGAAGTCGAAGGAGGTGCTTCAGCATGGGACACTCAGCAGCCTGTGCAACAGGATGCAGATCTGGTTGACCAGGAGGAGCAGGAAGTGGAGAAGGATCTGAAGTCAGCTCTGCAAAGCCTGCCTTTGCGCAATCCGATGTCTGTTGCGTCACTTCTCAGTCCAGTTGATGAGGAGCCGACGGTGCATGCGGAGTTAAGCGACGCCGAGATCATCAAGCTCGTCCAGGATGCTGAGGAGGTGGAGGAGGAAGGAGTATCTGAGAAGGAGGTGGTGACATATTGCATAGCTGAGAAGCTCGCTGCTCTTGCTTTGTTCATTTCCCTCCTTGATCTCTCAGGATCGAGACGCGCCTCCCTCCGCGCACTTCGTCGCATTCAAGCCCAACTTCGTAGTGCTAATACAATCCAAACCGCACTGAATTCATGGCTTAAATAGGCTCCAGGATGCTCTAAACAATATTCATCTACTCCTTAGAGAAAAATTGCTCCCCCCAGTTCGTTACATTGGGCCTGGGCGGGTATTACATATTCCGTATTCCATAGTCGCCGTAGAACGGCGTCGGTGGACCCGAAATCGTATAACTTAGCAGAGGTTATACCATAGGCGGAAGGACAACTTATGGAGGGGGGAATGTAACAAATGTCAAGTTCCCCTTTGATCTCAGATTGACACGTGTCTATTCTAGATGTCAGCAGATTGTTACGAGTAAGGGCCAGCTTAAGGCGTATACTCGAGGTCACATTTTTAGCACAATTCCTAAAGTCAATAATCGTCTCCTGAACCAGGACTAGAAGGTCTACAAGCTTAAAGACTCTCCTAGTCTTTGTTGACTATTCCAGTGAGCTAAAGTCTCCTTAAATTGAACTTAGCTCCGTAGAAATAAGCACCTTTTGGATTAGTAAGTCTTCCTCTGACTAGGAGCTGAGTAGCTCCACTAAACTTATAAGCACCTGTAGCCAATCCTACACCTTAGTTGCAATCTACAAGACCTTTGTTGAATTGGAAAGACTAGTCTATCTCTCCCAGGCTCAACGCCTCGCGCTTGTCAATATTAGGGCGTTAATTATTGTCGAACAAATCGACCCTGCTGTGTTGCAAGGCATGGAAGTGCTCAAGGAGCGGCTACTACTATGGGATTTGAGAACACGTTAATCGGGCAGGTCCAGGACTAGAAGGTCTTTAAGTTTAAAGCCTCTCCGATTCTTTGTTCAATATTTCTGTAAGCTCAAGTCTCCTAAAACTGAGCTTAGATCCATAAACTAAGTGACTTCTAGAGTCGTAAGTTTTCCTCCGACTTATTAGTTGTGTAGCTTTACTACAATTTCTTTGTGATTTACATGTTTATTCGGACAAAAACATCCCTTTTGTAAAAAGGACTACTACTCTGTCCCATTTTTCATAAATTTTTTTAGTACTGTCTTCTTTCCAGGTAAAAACCTCTATCGAAGGTTATAGTTCTGTTCAAGAAACTCTCTTTCCCGAACAATGCTGCGTCAATCGTTTTTGTATGTTAACTCTATTTTAGATTCTTAAGAAATATGATACTTAAGCAGCACGTACCAATTACCAGTTTTTCATCTCTGTTGGACTTGCCACAGTCTCACATTGCCTGCAATTTTACACAATCGCTTCCTTACCACCTCAAACATCGATAAAGCGAACAATTTCGAAGATGGAGCAAAAGCTTCAGTTACAGGTGCACATCACACGCACATCGGGCATAAAACTGGCTCAAATAGAATACTGGTCAATGAGAAGCTCGGCCTTCGGATCTTCTCATCGGCAGCAGAACGGTTTCTTCAGGAGTAAACTAACGCATTCCTTACCACGGGAAGGTAGCGCAATCGAATGGTGCTTTTTCCGGGGTTTGCATCTGTGATTCTCGCATTCATCGTCTCAATGACGTCAAAGCGATTTCCACAGACGAGCTACTACTAGAATAAGCTCACTCTATCCGAGCCGCTTAAGGGATAAGCGAGAACGATCTGAGGATTAGGAATGTATGACTGTATGAATTAAAGACTCGACACGTCATCCATCATCTTTTGATTCAGCGAGGCAGACTCAGTTTATCGCGCTCAACCAGCAGTGAACCGAATGGAGCTTACAGAGCTGATTAAACAATGTTCACCATAATATGAATTCAATTTTGACAAATTAGATTTTTCTTATTGCCTATCTCTGAACATGACACTGGCAACGGTCAAGCTCTACGCAGAGAAGTTATAGAAGGATCGTATTACAGTCGCAATGTGCTACGACATGACCGGCACCGAGAAGATGTATTTCGTTTTCATAGGCAAGCTGAAGCAATCACGAGCATTTCGCAAAGCAAACGCAAAAAGATGAAGTGTCGTACTGCGAAATTGGAATTCGTGGCAAAGCAGGTCAACATTTGCTGATTGGATCTGGCATAGCGATGCCAAGATACACTAAAGGCAAGTGCTTCTTGTTGGCAAAAGTGTCGTGTCACTTTGGCGCCGCTAAATTCCACAATATCAAGTGGCATTTCTACCGCCAAACATGACAGAAAGCTAGTAGCCTCTCTAGGTCAATAAGTTTGGAAAAATCTATCTCTTGAGCAGCGATATCTCGCGTTATTTTTTTAAAAAGATCATGAATCCATCGTAGACATTTCTTTCGATAATGCGCCTGCGTTATCGAAAGAAATGTCTACGATGGATTCTGGGTGCAATTCACATCAAAATCGACAAAAATGGGTACCCGGTGGGTTGTGAAGTTTGCTATATCGAGCTGAAGGGAGGTGCCCGAGTAAGTGATTCACAACTGCTGGAGAAAGTGTGTTATAGTGTGGGCGGTGATGACGGCCGATCTCACCCAGCTTTAAAAAAATGACATACGTATTTATCGACCTGTTGAGGACGAGCTGACGAAGCACATGCAAGTTTTGACCTGCGGCATCAGTTTCGGCGAGTACATCGGCACGGATGACGACGAGCAGATCGAGTGTGATTCAGTCGTTATAATAGATCATGAAGCGATTAAGAGCGATAAAAATGGAGACAGTGACGTTGAGGTGACGATTGGGCCATTCAAGGATCTAGACTGTTGTCTCCGTCTGTCATTTAATTATTTCGCTACAGCAAGAAAGTGACGAATTGACCAAAAAAGCTGGCAAGTATAAACGAGCGAAGTAGTAATCAGTGCTTGATGCGAAAAACTTATTGTACCACGGATGCATTTCCTAAAAGGGGGACAGATTGACCCTCCATGTGTGAGCGCTTTATATAAAATTAGAGGCAAGCATGCCACACAATTTGGTCCGCTATTCGGAGGAAAGGCTGTGTTTGATCTACATACAATAAACATATTTGCTACATGCTCGCATTCTTAAACTCTCGAGTTTGCGCTCAAAAAAAATTCATGACAGACAAGCTGTTTTTAGGTGTTTGCAGTGAGCGCTAGCTAGCAAAAGACGAGAGTGACAAAAATAATCCGCCGCATGCTTTGACAATCATTTACGCGTGGAGCGCATCCCTCTTCGTTTCCTATCGCTTCTGAGCTCGTTTGTGGAGGATTCTCTTCCTTGGACACATGGCTGATTTGAGCCTCTAGTACAAATAAAACGATGATACGTATAGGTAAATTGTTTCTTGACACAATCGCGGAAATATGATGATAAATATCACTTCAATTTACATCAATTCAGCAGTATTTAGTATGAAAACTGTTGATTCAATTGACACAATAATTTTAGATAATAAAAACTTCTTGTTCTTCTTATAACTTGAATGCTTTATATAGCCTGAGACATTTACAATACGATTGGACTGATTTTACAGTTGCTTGTTTAGGGATCGCACGTAGTTGGGCTCCGTAATTTGTGTAAACGCCTGGTAAAAAACTATCACGCTGGTCGTTTTTTTCCCTTAAATAATGACTTGGTCAAAAATACACATAAAAGGAATAAATATACATTGACACACGAAACAGAGTAGTACGGCATGTAAATTATTAGTTAAGGAACGTTAGGAACCTATCCAATCAGTTGTGTATTGGAGATAATTATTGCTCCTTAGCAGAGGAAGTCTTAGACTCAGAGAGTCTCGTAGTTACATCAAACTAATAACGATGTACAGTCGTTCAAGCGTGCAAGCTTAACAATCCCGGTTCCAAAAGGATTGCGATTCACAGAATCAAACACTAACTTATCACTACTATTTAAACAAGAGTAAGCGCCTTCACAAGGCTAACACTCTTACGACACACTATGCCTTGTCTAGGCGCTATCGTCCAACGATTCAAAAGGGCAACTGAACTATATTTATTCTTTAACTACAGTAATAAAACCCTAAAACTATGTCTGACTGACTTCTACATTACGATCCTATGACAGAAGTCTCATCCCTTATACTTACTAGATTAGATGTGTTGTTACCGTAAGTAGGTGTTATCAATCCTGTACCACTCAGATCCACCGATCTTTACTTGGTCTAGACACACAATATCACCGGTTTAATAACCGCGTGTAAGTATGTGACACGCTTCCCCAACCGACTGTTGACACACTTGTGCCACCAATAATTCTACTGCCTTTTAGGGTCGTAAAGATATGGCCCTGACCATCGTGTTCACAATACATCTCAAAATGACTGAGTCAAAGCCTTCGTATAACACCCTGGAGTTGTTCCTCGAAGAGGGTATGCTGGACTATGAGAGTGACACCACTGCGTCGAGGATCTACGGCCATCCTCCGGCTACGCCACCGACGCGTGGCAGCGCCCGCCTCGCGCCTAATCCATTTGTGGAGCACGAGGATTTACCTTCACCCCTTGCACGGCGCACAGCCGTCGACCCTGCGTTGGGTGTGTTGCACAACAAGCTCGATTAAGATCAAGCTCAATGTCTTCAGCCCGGTCGACGACCTCGGCATCAAGTACAATGTGTGTCCACAGCGCGTGATCGCAGTTGTCACCGCTTTACGCCACCGACTATGGATGAACGCATTCGCCGGACTGCCGGGCAGTCACTCGCAGCATGGATCACGAGACCAAGGCTGTCACAGTCACACCACATGCGGAGAGGGAGGCTTCTAGAGCGAGTTACTTAGGGGTTGAGAGCACGACCGCTTAAGAGTACTTTGACAGGCTGAATTTGCAAGCACAAGGTGCATCAGTGTCCGCCATCCAAACAGTACCCGTAGTTCTCTTCATTGGTGAGACAGAAGCGAGAATGATGATATTTTAAGCGTTTAGCTCACCGAGATCGCCGTCTGCCAAGCCTGTTATATCTCCTAAAGGGCGTTTTACCTGCCAACGATCGGCTTTAACATAAGATGCGCTTTAATTTCTCAAAAGAGAAATCCCAAAGGCGATCGTCATATCGCAACCACTATGCTGCGGCAGTTACAAACCTGCGCATCAGCGCACCTGCAGCAGCTGCAGCCCCTCCACTCCCGCACCGACTAGTGGGAAGCGAAATAGGTGAAATGACCTTGAAGTTGACGTTCAAAAACTTCAACGGCATACGGACAATTAGGCCGCAGTGGCGCTTCGTACTCCCATGAGTTCTTCGACTCCGGATACTCTCGACACTGTACCAAGTACTGGTACTGACCGTCGCGATGAAGTTGCTGCAGGATTCGTTCAAAATGGTGCTATTGATCTTCTTCCACGTCAACGAGAGTAGTTGGTGGTTGGTAAATCGTGGAAGAGTTAGTGCACGAGGTGCACGGTCTGCGTGAGCAAGTGGGGCGCCTTGAAGGAAGACTGGAACTTATCTAGAAGGTCACTCGACTTGTGACATCACCAACTCTTTCGGCGCAAGCGCCTAGTGATCCACCAGCGACGAAATAAGTTAAGGCTATAGCAAGCTGACGTAAATCATTGAGTGTGTTCGCATTTTGCGTGGAAAGTTCAGCGTATTCGCTAGGCCCTTATTGGCCACAACCGGAAACGGTTCAATGAAGAAAAAACGCAACTTGGTCCCACAGACCGCTAAACCACCTTGGTAGGTAGATAATAGCGTGGAGCAAAAATAGATCTTTAACTTTATACCTCTCAATACTATATCTCCCTTTATCATCAGGTTTTTACTTCTTTTGTCCGGGCTATCAGCCATTGCATAACGTACATGTCGTCAGACATTCAATTGCGTAGCGATAAACTCTTTCACCTATATCTGAACAGTATTAGGGCTGACACTAACAAGCCAATCGGCTATTCCTCACCCACGAAGCCCAGAACGTCGTACAGCAAAGCTTTTTATTGACCGTGTGTTTCGTCAACACGTAGTGGAAGCGTTAACGTAATGCGTGGGTGAGTGAGACCATTCACGTAGAATGTAGTAAATCCAGTAGAGGTATGAACAGCGTTATTTAACGCAAACTCAACCACCGGGAGCATAGAGCTCCAACTCCCAGGCGTATCAGAACGAACACTGCGCAAAATGTCACCAATGACACGGTTGACACGATCGTTTTGACCATCGGTCTTCGGATGGTCCGCTGCGGACATTTCCAACCTGGTGCCCAGCACCTTGAAGATGGAAGTCCAAAACTTGCCAGTGAAACGTGGATCACGATTCGAGACAATTACTTCAGGCAAATCGTTTTGACGAAACACACGGTCAATAAAAAGCTTTGCTGTACCTTCGCCGTCGATGGAAGCAGGCACAGCTGGTAAATGAGCCATCTTGCTCAAACGGTGGACAAAGACCAAAATACCAGTGTTGCCGTCAGAATACTTCGGTAGGCCAAACAAAAAGTCCCTACTGATGGAATCCCAACACCCAGTGTGTACAGGTAGACTAGCAAGCGGTGAAACCGCATGTGCTGAGGGTTTGACCCATTGACACGTTTCACATGGAGACATTTGCTCACTCTTTTGTACAACTTGGACCACCAATACGTCAGTCTAACTGAGCTAAATGTCTTCTCATGACCGAGATGATCGCTCACAGCGGTATCATGAGCCTCAAAGAGGATAACATACTTTGTGTCCTCATCATGAGGAACAACGATGCGATAGACATCCTCACCACCCTTGCAATAGCACAACAACCCACCATCGATGACATATCGATGTAGGCTCGCACGTAGACGTGCCGACGATCAAAATTCCAAGGCTCTAAACTCCTTACTCCCAAGAACATTTAGCAATGCTACACATCTCTCATCACGTGCATATGCCGCAAGACATAAATCCACAAGAGATGACGAAAGAGTCGTTTTATGAGAAAGCTCGTAATCAGATCTGCGTGACAACGCATCAGCCAAAGCGTTTTGATCGCCCGGCTCATACTTCACCTCGAAGTTGCATACAGCAGAGAATTAAAGGTAACGGTCCACAAGCTGTAAGAAATGAGGCGACTGTATCGCAGTGCGTAACGATGCATGATCGGTAAATGTTGCACAAGGGTCTTAAAACGAGTAAACTATGAAGATGACAAGAGCATATTTCACTGCGAGTTTTATCGTTGTCGTGTACTAAATAGTTCTTCTCTGCAGCTCTGAGCCGAAGAGATTTGTACGCAATGACGCTCTTTTGTCTATTGACATCTGTCTGCAATAATGCACAAGCAATAGCAAAATCAACGGCGTCACAGACGAGACTGAAGGGCCGGTCAGGGTCAGGCAAAGCCAAAATTGGAGCGTGAGTTTGACTGTTTTTGTAGCTTCAAAAGATTGAGCATGGACTGCGTTCTAGCATCAAATTGCATCCTTTTAAAGGATATTTGTTAATAGCTTTGCCATGTCAGAGCGGTTTGCACTGTGCTTGTGCAAGTAATTAGCAAGGCCGAGCCATTTTTGCAAGTTGATTTGGTATGCCGGTCAACGTTTGACTTTACACAAGCGTGCGTGATCCGCTCGAAGCCAATTTTTTTATTGAAGCACTCGAGACAGGGAATTTTTTTGGTGCACCAAAAATGCATCTCGATGCATTTGCATATAGCTTGATCGTGCGCGTGCAATCGAGCGCTGCTAGTAAATTGTCAACGTGGTTGTCCATATCTGATCTGCCATGTTCTGCCGGCTATGGAAAAAGGTGTCATCGAAAAATGTTTGTGCGTATTCTCGGTGAGGTCGAAACAATTGCTTCACAGGACGATTGAATAAAGCCGGGCATTAGACAGCCCTTCGGGCATAAAAAGCCCCTTCATAGCAAAACGCTTGGAAATGCTAACCGCTGCGAGAGAAATATCACTCGCTCGCATGAGCAATTATAATACCCATCGATAGAATTGAGTGCACTGAACATGGTACAACCTTATTTATGGGGTTCTATAGAACCTTTTTTCAGGGATAGGCGTCTGTGCTGGTATAGTGGCTGCGTTAAGCTTATAGTAAGCATGCACTATACGCCACTTTCCATTGGCTTCCTGACACAAAATGTAGGTGTCGAGTGCGGAGACTTGCTCTCACGCACCATGCCAGCCGCGTGCTGTGCGCAAAAAAAATGGCCAATGACGTCACACTGCTCCTTTGGTAGGGGCCATTGCCGTGTCATCCAGTACTTGTTTCCATGAACTAGGTCAATTTTATGACGTACGTCTCGATCAGGAGGCAGAGTGGAAGGTGGATCGTGACACACCATATCCTGAAACTCCTTAACTTAAGGATACAACGGGTCTTTAGGAAAAAAATTTACGATCAATGACCCCCTCGAGCACTCAGTGGTACCTTTGTGTCTTTCAAGACATTCTCTTCAAGAAGTGACGATGAGTTTCAACCAACTATCGTGTCTAATGACCACCACTTCAGATAATTGACCCGACTCAAAGGTCACGCCAAACTCATCGACAGACACCTCGTCTATCTCTAACCGATATTCAGTAAGGGTTAAGGGTTAAGTCTCGAGACTCACCGATCCACCTACGTCACCAGTTTCTACATTAACGAGTGTACTTAGACTCTCGCTAGTATTACTCATTGACTTTTTCAGACGCATTACGTTTCATAACATCACTCTGGCATCGCTGTCGTATCTGTGTCGAGACTGAACGTCTCAACGAGACTGAAACTTTCTCGTTTTCAAGTTCGGTATTATCCTCATCCTCAAATTGGTCTGTACAAGAGCCGGTGTCATTACCGACACCCAAGACATCGATGTCCGCAAAATTAATATACTCATCAGCCTTAAAATGCTCATTACTGGATCCGATGTCACTACTAACATAATAGACTATACGGACCCCAAGGTGACGGAGTGCGTCCACCTCAATTTGCCCAATATCAGGATCGATGTCATTACCGACATCCGGGAATACACTTTCCCCAAGGAGACGAACTGTGTCAACCTTAATTTTCTTAATATCAGAACCGATCTCAATACCGATATCTGGCGATAAGTCACTTCCAGTTATATTATTACCCAGTGGGTACTTACGTGCCACTCCACTCTCATCAAATAAGCGTTGCCTTCGATGAATTGGTATGTCGCCAACAATGTATTGACTGACATTCAGTATGTCGCTATCTTGACCAACATCACTCTGTGGGTATTTACGTGCCACTGCACGATCAACAGATGGATTCAACCCATGATGAATTGGCTCTAGGCCAATAAAGCCATCAGCATTCAGTGTTTTGTCATAACAACGATTATGACTCAACGAAGTACGTGCGTCTTACGAACATTGATTGAGCTTGGCTTGTTACTAATCCTTTTTACATCGTTTAACTCAATGAGTTTGAACACACCGTATCTAGCACACGGACTGTCTCAGTCCGTGGCGAGCGCCAAAAGCGTTTCTGTCCCCTAGCAGAGGTGGGTTCACGACACCCTACAGGTCCACTAAGAACAGTGCGCGTTGCGCCTAATGTCTTTGACCTCCAATCAATTTATGGTTCACGGCACTCTAGCCAATCCATACCAAGGATAACATCATATC